CCTTCCCCTCCCACAGGGATGCGGGGGCACTGCAGTTGGGCGGAGCCACGGCGTCCCCCCCCCCCCCAAAGCGGACACGCCTGCCCCTCCCCTCCTTGCGCCCTCCCCACTGCGCAGCCACCCGCGCCTGGCTGTGCATTGCCCCGAGTCCTCACTTCTTCCCCACCTACCTGCAGCCCTGCGTCGCCCAGGCAGCTGCCAGCCAGACAGAGCTCCCTCAGACTGCCGTTCGCGCCCAAGGCCGCCGCCAGGTCCGGCACGCACCCCCCAGGCAGCCTCGCGGCGAGGGTGAGGTGCTCGGGCCGGCCGTCAGTCAGCACGCGCACCACCGCATCTGTGACCCAGGCCGCGAGCCTGTCGGGCAGAGCCTCGGAATCCAGGAGTTCCGGGGCCGCATCCGCGGCGGCGCGGCCGCCGGCTCGTCGGCGTGGCCGCCGCAGCTTTGGGGCTGTGGGACGGCGTGGCGTGGGGGCCCTGCGTGGCGCTGGCGCTGCGCGGTTTCAGAGGGCCTGCCAGCGAGCGGCGCGCATGCACGCACACTGCGGCCCGTTGGGACGGGGACAGCTCGGCCGGGTGCCTTTGGTTGTCTTGGCCCGCAGGGGTCGGCCTGGGTGCAGGCGTGCTCTCGCCAGGCAGCACAGCCGCTCAGGAATCTTCCTTCTTACCAAGCTGGTGGCCAAGGCGCCCCTACTTACCACGGGGCTGGGGCCGGGGCCCCCAAGGTGATGCGGACGACGTCGACGCGCGCCGCGTGGCGCACCAGCTGCGCGAGGGCGTCTGACAGCGCGGCCGGGGGCATGGATGAGAGGTCTGCCTGCAAGAGTGTCCCGTGTGGTGCAGTGGGGGAGGGCGCGCGGCCACGCGCGGCGGGGGTGCCGTTCGGTTTTGGGGCCGTGGCATGCGCGCGGAATGTTGGACCGGGTGCTTCTTGACCTTGGTGCCAGCACGACTGCAGGCCCCCTTGCACGCCTTGCGGAGAATCTGCGCCGGTCGCGCTTGCGGCCGGAGGCGCGCCGCGGTGCCGCCGGGGCGCTGCGTCGCAAGGCATCGATGCGGCGGGGGGCCCGCGACAAGGGTGTCAGGGGGAGGGCGGGGCGCACGCGCCTAGCGTTGCCTGCACCTCACCGCCCAGCAATACGGTGCAGCTCGCGGGCCATCAACCATGGAGCCGTCGCTGGCCGCGAGCCCGCGATGCGCCATGCTTGCGGCCCTCCTGGGCGCACGGCCCGTCAACTCGTATGCGCAAGCGGTCCTGTTGACCAAGCCGCAGCGAGTTGCGCTATGCTGAGCACCTGCAAGACCAGCCCGTGGTATCCACGGCTATAAGCTTGCAAGGCTGCAGGCCCAGATATGCCAGCGGCCAGCGCCAAAAGTCCACTGTCAGGAAAAGTGCGCGGCGAGATATTGATACAAGCGCATCCTTGCTATGCAATTCTCAACAAGCATCGCATGAATGTTTTTGGTAATACTGCGATTGTGCCGGCGTTCTCACAACGACCCAACCAAGGCTGCCGTAATCTCGTTCTCCGCGCCGCATGGGGATGTCTAGGGCCCTGATAGCGTATGATAAATCATCACACATCTATTTTGGGCTTTGAATGCCCTAGAGTACCTGACGGTTCACCGCCCACGATCTGATACGCAAAAGGGGTGCCCGGACGTATTTTCATACAATTGTGATCGAATTCTTATTTACAGAGCGTTATCGTCTTTTACATATCGACATACCCCCGGCCCACAACCAAGAATCCCGTTGCCCCCTCTCTGCTGCGGCCGCTCCGCCCAATCTTTCAGCCGTGCCCGTTTGCTAGGGCTCAGGCGTTTGCAAGTCTCTGCCGTGTATATCAGCATCCCAGCAGGGCTCGTGCCGGCCACCGCCACCGCTTCAGCGGGGCTTCTCGCGCCGCCCCACATCGATTCGGGCCCATCAAATCGAAGCGCGGGGGGCAGCCCGTGCATGCGCCAGGGCCTTTCGGTGGGTGGCGGTTGTGACGGGATCCTTGCTCAGGGGACTCACGCGGGGGGCCTGACGCCGCACCTGTGATGTCGCAACGGCAACTCTTATCCTGCTGCGACCTGGCCGCTGCCAGGCTGCAGTGGCCGCAGCTGAAGCAGCACGGCAGGGCGCGGCGCACCGACCGGCCTCAACACGGCCCGAAAGGCGACTGGGTCCCGTCAACAAGCCGTGACGCCATACATGCTGCGCCTCAGGGGCAGCGGCCGTAACCCTGGCCCCCGCCCGACGCCATGCGCTCGCCATCCCCC